ACAGTCTCTGCATCGCCTGTTCTCGGCCAAACCCGGCTTCGACCTTTCTGCATGCACGAAGAAGTTTCTTAGCATCGGCTAGGGCCTTCTTTGTTTTGTCTCACTTAGGCGGTGGTGGGAGCGTTTGGGGAGGAAGGTGGCTGCAGGGTGATCGAGCAGCTCTAGCCCGCTCTGGCCCTCTCAGTGTCGCGCCAGTTACCCCACTGAAGGCAGAAGACCACTTGAGAAGCGACAGCTGCAGATGTGGAGATGCTGTCAGGACTACACATGTGGCTTCCTCAATTCGTGCCATTGCACAAGAGCCAAATGAGGTGGAGAATATCCCGCAAGAAGCCCTAGATCATCTTGTGTAGGTTTTAGGGCAGGTCTTGAGGGCTTGGGTTCTTCTTTAAGGCCCAAACATGTTCAATCATGTGGGCTTCGGCTTCGAATATTGCAAGCGCAAGAGCCCAGAAGCCCTTTCACTGCTTCGAGCCGTAGGGTTTGGGTTTAGGGTTCAGGGTTGAGGGCTTCAAGGGGCCGCAGCAAGCTAGAAAGTTGAGCAACCCTAAGCCCTAAACCCTAAACCCTGAACCCCAAACCCTAAATCGGCTCGCACGCGGCTTAGGGTTTAAGATCTAAAATTTAGAAGTTTAAACTAAAATTTAGGGTTCAGGGCTCAGGGCTCAGGGCTCAGGGCTCAGGGCTCAGGGCTTAGGGCTTAGGGCTTAGGGCTTAGGGCTTAGGGCTTAGGGCTTAGGGCTTAGGGCTTAGGGCTTAGGGCTTAGGGCTTAGGGCTTAGGGCCCAACCCTAAACCCTGAACGCTAAGCCCTAAACCCTAAACCCTTTGCACAAAGAAGCCATCAGTGCAAGAAGCACATGCAAAGCTGGCAAGTCTCCAAGCAGATGGCCAGCAGTGGCGGAGAACCAATACCCCTAAATCCTTCACCCTAAACCCTAAACCTAAATCCCTAAACCCTAAACCCAAAACACAAGCCAAAAGCCTTCATTGGGCTCTTTGGGCACAAGTTTGTAAATATACGGATGAGGCTGAAAGTCAGGCACCGGCCCGCAGGACTCAACACCCTAAGCTCGAAAGCTTCAATTCTTGCAGTTCAAGGTTTACGGTTTAGGGTTTAGGGTTTAGGGTTCGGGGTTTAGGGTATAGGGTTTAGGGTTTAGGGTTTAGGGTTTAGGGTTCAGGGTTTAGGGTTTAGGGTTTAGGGTTTAGGGTTTAGGGTTTAGGGTTTAGGGTTTAGGGTTTAGGGGCTGGCGGTTGGGGGTTGGGGGTTGGGGTGTAGGGTCTAGGGTGTAGGGCTTAGGGCTTAGAATCGGGGATGTAGGGTTTAGGGTCCATAGGGTTTGGGATCTTGGGATCTTGGGATCTTGGGATCTTGGGGCGGGAGGTCAGAAGCAGCCTTCTGGTATTCCCCCACCCTCTTCTCGAAGAAGTTCGTCTTGCCTGCGGCTCTACTTGGAGATTCAGGGTTGCTTATAACCCCAATTAGGGTTTAGGCTTAAGGGTTTAGGGTTTCGGGTTTAGGGTTTAGGGTTTAGGGGTTAGGGTTTAGGGTTCAGGGTTCCGGGCTTAAGGGGCCCCTTATCGTCCCCCTATGAAAGCCCTTCAAGGGATTCTTTTTTCAGGTTCATCCATGATTCCCTCATTCACTGCTAAGAAAGCAGGAGGTGTAGGGTTTAGGGTGCGCGGGTTTAGGGCTTAGACTCTACAACCCTAAGCCCCAAAACCCAAAGCTGTAATCAAGCCCTCACGCCTAGAACCTAAACCCTGAAACTCCAGATCGCAAATCCTAAACCCCTAGATTCCACGACTCATGCCCTCTTGAGCTGCAGTCAGGGTTTCGGTGTTTAGGGTTTAGGGTTTAGAGTTAAGGGGTTTGGGGGCATAGGGGGTTAGGGTTTGGGGCTTAGGGGTTGAGGGTCTAAACCCTAAACCCTAAACCCTAAACCCTAAACCCTTAACCCTTAACCCTAAACCCTAAACCCTAAACCCTAAACCCTAAACCCTAAACCCCAACCCCCCCGGGCCCAGGCCCCTGTGATTCGTGGGAGCCTTGCAGCGAGATCAACTCCATGAAGTCGAAGGGATTCGCGGAGCCGAAGATCTTGCCTTAGGGGGGTTAGGGGTTAGGGTTTAGGGGATTTAGGGTTTAGGGTTTAGGGTTTAGGGTTCAGGGTTCAGGGTTCAGGGTTCAGGGTTTAGGGTTTAGGGTTTAGGGTTTCATTTTTTCTGCAAGTTTCAGGCGCGCCGGAGGGTCTTAAGGTTTGGGGATTTAGGAACTGCTTGGGCTGTCTTGGGCTTCGGGTGTGGCGCTATCAGGGTCTAGGGCTCAGATGAGGGGCGGGGTGGGGGCGGGGGAGGGGGGCGGGGAAGGTTGCAAACTCTGTCCTGTCCAACACCTTTTGTATTTGGATCCCTTATCAGGCACAAAGGCCTTGAGGAAAAGCCCACAAAAACATCAACCGCTAGTAAGAAACACGAAGCCCAAAAAGCCGTAAACCCAGCAGAGCCCTTCTAAGGCTCCGTGTTCCGTGTTCACGCTTCTCTGAGACGTATAAACCCCTCTGTTCAAAACAGACCCCCCGGCCGTGGGTTAAGCATCAGGGTTTTTGGCTTAGGTCTTTAGGGTTAAGAGCGCAAAGGCTTTGGGGTTCACGGGCCGTGTCAGGGTTAAGGATGTAGGGTTTCGGGCTTTAGAGTTAAGGGCGCGAAGGCTTTGGGGCTTACGGATCACAAAGGGGTAATGATGTGGGCTGTCAAGCCCTCAACTGCACATACATGGATGGCACCCAGGATCCTACCTTTAAACCCTTGAACTCTCAATACCCAGACCCCTGAACACCCTGACACCCTCGAAAGCCCTCAGTTTAGGGTTTAGGGTTTAGGGTTTAGGGTTTAGGGTTTAGGGTTTAGGGTTTAGGGTTTAGGGTTTAGGGTTTAGGGTTTAGGGTTTAGGGTTTAGGGTTTAGGGTTTGGGTTCTGCGAATCCTAAGCTTGTTGTGCAGGTTCAGGGTAGCTCTAAGCGAAGGTTGCAATGAGGGTTCTAGGTCTGAAAAAGAAAGCAGGTTCGGGCGCGCCGCCTCGGGCTTAGGGTTTAGGGTTTTGAGGTTTAGGGTTTAGGGTTTAGGGTTGAGGGTTTAGGGAAACCCAAAAAAACCCAAAACCCTCGAAGCCAGTGCTGTCGAAGAGGCTGTGCCCCAATGCTGTCAGCAGCCGGTCGGCCACAAACTCGATGTACTTCGTCATCAGGTCCTACGCACCCAAGGAACCAAGTAGCAAAAAGAAGGGTTAGAAGTACCCGAGATACTTTCATAGAAACGCATAACTATAGCTATCCTTACTTCTGACCTCCTTGCAAGGTAACTACCCATGAGCCTCCTAGTAGGCTTTGGTGTACCTATGTATCTTCTAACCCAAAACCCTAAACCCTAAACCCTAGCCCCTTTGAGGCCTTGGGCTCTTGGGGCTCTTTATATTGCGACTCCGACCCCCAAAGCCCCCACCTATACTCCCCGTACAACCTTAAATATTTTACTTTGAACATCCCCACCTTGCTCCTCGTTAAAAGGAAAGAGCGCAAATAAGAGGTTCAACCAAAGACGTATTGATTCAAACACGCTTTCATGGTTTTTGCTTGCAATTGGGGTTGGGCACTCCAGGGAGTCTCTGGGGCTGGGCACTCCAGGGAGTCTCTACGAGTAGACCGGCGAGGAGAAGAGTTCTGGGCGAGGAGAAGAGATCCGGGCGAGGAGAAGAGTTTGAAATCTAACAACCCCACACCGAAGGTGGGGAATAACAATAACATTCTTACTCAAAGGGTTTAGGGTTTAGGGTTCAAGGTTCAGGGTTTAGGGTTTAGCGTTTAGGGTTTAGCGTTTAGGGTTTAGGGTTTTAGGGTTTAGGGCTTGGGGTTTAGGGTTTAGGGTATAAACATCTTTAATATTCAATTCAAGGTTTAGGATTTTAGGTTTTTAGGGGGTTACGGTTTTAGGGTTTCAGGGTTTTAGGGTTCCTCTTGGGCTCTATATTAAACAATATAAACAATAATTCCCAAGGGGGATATAACCGCCAAAAAAAGAAGAAGAGCTTGGGGCGTGGGTATGGATTCTCAAGTTTTAGGGCTTTAGGGTTTTAGGGTTTTAGGGTTTAGGGTTTAGGGTTTAGGGTTTAGGTTTTAGGGTTTAGGGTTTAGGGTTTAGGGTTTAGGGTTTAGGGTTTAGGGTTTAGGGTTTAGGGTTTAGGGTTTAGGGTTTAAAGGCTTGGGGTGTCGGTAGGGCTTTAGGGTCGAGGGTTTAGGGTTTTAAGGTTTGAGGGTTTTAGGTTTGAGGGTTTTAGGGCTTTAGGGTTTCGGGTTTTGGGGTTTTGGGGTTTTGGGGTTTCGGGGTTTCGGGGTTCCCGGGTTCCGGGGATTAGGGTTTAGGGTTTAGGGTTTAGGGTTTAGGGTTTAGGGTTTAGTGTTTAGGGTGTAGGGTTTAGGGTTTCGGGTTCTGGACTCCCAGGACACCGAGGTCCGCATGCGACAGCCTCCCTCCCCCAACTCAGGCTCAGGGCTTGGGGCTTGGGGCTTGGGGCTTGGGGCTTGGGGCTTGGGGCTTAGGGCTTAGGGCTTAGGGCTTAGGGTTTAGGGTTTAGGGTTTAGGGTTTAGGGTTTAGGGTTTAGGGTTTACTTGGGAAACGAACAGGAACCCACTACGACGGCGACCCCGAAGTGGCGTCCCCAACTGAGAGGAGGCTGAATGGCATGCAAGGTGCGTCACGATGACAGTGCTGTTACTCCATGGGGGCTTAGGGTTTTAGGGTTTAGGGTTTAGGGTTTATAGTTTAGAGGTTAGGGTTTACGGTTTAGGGGTATCACCTGTCCTCTTTTGTTGCTGCAAGTACTCTTGCTCATTCTTTGTTCGTTGAGTTCAGGGGCACTCCCTGCGTTCCCAGCGCATCCACGCTCGTTTGGAGTGACAAGCGTCCAGAAAGCCTAACATGCTACGAAGGTGACCACAGGACTCAAACAAGGCCTCCGCTGTTAAACTCGCAGTCGCAACATCCCACGCAAACTGGTACCTTCGAGGACAAGCGGCTTTGGTAAGATAGAGCGACTCCCCACTTCCAAGCAACGTTTGCCAAATCTTCCGAAGGGTCTCCTTCGTTGTCAGCTTTCTGGACGTGAAGGAGGCGTAGGGAGCACAGATTGTCAACCAAAGTGCACAGGCTGTCCCACACAGATTGGACATCGGCCGATGGCAGCTTTGTGGGAGGAGCCCAGTAAAAATCCTGAAGCCAAGACCACTGCAGTGTAGCCAGGAACTTTTGCACGTGCAGGGCCGTCAGCGCAAGGGAGTCATGGAACTCTACGTGCTCGAGGAAAAGCCCGCAAGCGCAACTGCGACAGACTTGCTCGGCCAAAGCACAGAGCCCTTCCCCCGGAAAAGCGGCTGAGAGCCCGAGCATGCAGCAGCTCGATGGCCATCTGATCCGGGAGAGGACTTTGGCCAATGCGTCATCGAGAGCATCATCAACGATCCAAACATGCTTGAGGGGAAATGCGTCCATGCACCGCTGTAGTGATGAGGTACAATCCTCCATGCCGCAAAGCATCTCAAACCTCACCGCGTGCAAGCGGCAGAGGGAAGACGCGCAGTCCGCGAGCCTGTCGAGGAGTAATGCTACAGACCATGCTGATGTGGGATGAACTGAGAGGCTGAGTTCAAGCAGGTTGGTGAAAGTCGGCAAGACCTTGACTGCTGGTTCTGGGCAGCCATAGAAGTGGAGGGCTTCGAGAGCATGGCAGTGGCGCTGCAAGTTACGTAAGACCGTCATCCAAAGGGAGCTATACTGGGAGCTGTCCCAGTTCCCGCGCCAAGCAGAGACGTCCAGCCTTCGAAGTTTGCGGAACGCACCTAGGAGCCAACCCAAACACAGCGTGAAGAAGTCGGGGTCTGGGCGCTTGAGACTGATACCTTCGCTTACGGACAGCTCGACCACTTCGCCCTTGTCAATTGCGTGCAGCGACTTGATCGACTGACCTGCATCATGCTCCGAGTCGACACCCACAAAAGGCACGATAAGCAGGCCATTTGCAGAAACGCACAGGCTCTTCACCGTTCGAGAGGACATGCTCGCCGCCGCAATGGTCAAGGCATCCACGCAGGGCGCCAGCTGCTTCCACACAAACTTCTTCTCCAACACCGTCATGAACTCTCACCATGTGCTATGGACACAGAAATCCCTAGGCCTACAGTAGGGCTTAGGGCTTAGGGTTTAGGGTTTAGGGTTCAGGGTTCAGGGTTCAGGGTTCAGGGTTTAGGGTTTAGGGTTTAGGGTTTAGGGTTTAGAGTTTAGGGTTTAGGGTTTAGGGTTTAGGGTTTAGGGTTTAGGGTTTAGGGTTTAGGGTTTAGGGCGCCTAGCAATGAGACGATTGAGGCATGAGGCTGCGACACGACCAGTGGGTTAGGAATCCGTGCTCATGGCATTGTTGGGGGGTTGTCCGGTTCATCGTTCCATGCGTAAGGTGTTGCTACCCGCATAGAAACACCGAAGTACGCCCACAGGTTTAGGGGTTTTGAGGTTTAGGGTTTAGGGCTTAGGGTTTAGGGTTTATGGTTTAGGGTTTAGGGTTTAGGGTTTAGGGTTTAGGGTTTAGGGTTTAGGGTTTAGGGTTTAGGGTTTAGGGTTTAGGGTTTAGGGTTTAGGGTTTAGGGTTTAGGGTTTAGGATTTTTCTCAGGTCTCTCCTAGGAGGGACCCCGCCTTGTTCATGCCGACCAAGTCACAGGACAAGGCATCGCAGATAAACGTTCGCTCTACCTGCCACGGGTTTGGGGTGTGGGGGCTTGTGGCAGAATTGCAAGTAAGCGAGCTTAGGGCACAAAGATACCAGGTTGCAGGTTGCACAGTTCTCCATCGCAAGCTAGACCGTCAGCGTCTGTGGATACTACATGCACAGTTCGGAAAACTGGGTGAAGCTCCTGAAGCCTTTCTCTCTCGCTCGCTCTCTCTCTCTCTCTCTCTCTCTCTCTGTCTCTCGCTCTCTCTCTCTCTCTCTCTGTCTCTCGCTCTCTCTCTCTCTCTCTCTCTCTCTCTCTCTCTCTCTCTCTCTCTCTCTCTCTCTCTCGCTCTCTCCCACGACCCCCAAACATAAGCCCTCAACCCAGAGATCAGCTGCTAGGATCAGACATGAGCTTCCGTCAGAAGTGGCAAGGGTTTAGACCTCCAGCTATAGCCCCAAACCCTCCTAAACACCAGTTCGGGTTTAGGCTTGCTTTAGGGCTGAAGTTTAGGATTCAGGGATCAGGGTTCAGGGTTTAGGGTTTAAGGCTTAGGGCTTAGGCTCTAGGCCCAAACCTTAACCCCCTGTAAGCCCTCAAACCCTAAGCCCTCAGCCCTCAGCCCTAAACCCTAAACCCTAAACCCTAAACCCCAAACCCTAAACCCTAAACCAGCCCCCCTTTTGGCGGGCCGAGATCTGGCCTCAACGGCACCCCGGATGATGTCGTGCACGATTTCCTCTGGAAGCTTGTTCTGCAGCATCCTGAGATCATGCTCCAGGGTTTAGGGTTTAGGGTTTAGGGTTTAGGGTTTAGGGTTTAGGGTTTAGGGTTTAGGGTTTAGGGTTTAGGGTTTAGGGTTTAGGGTTTAGGGTTAGGGTTTAGGGTTTAGTGTTTAGGGTTTAGGGTTAGGGGTTAGGGGTTAGGGGTTAGGGGTTAGGGGTTAGGGGTTAGGGGTTAGGGGTTAGGGGTTAAGGGTTAGGGGTTAGGGGTTAGGGGTTAGGGGTTAGGGGTTAGGGGTTTAGGGTTTAGGGCGGGGGGGAGGGTTCAGTCTGTACGAAGCCCTACACCATCCTAAACCCCCTCCTTTGGCGAGCAGAGAGGCTGGTAGATGAGGCAGGCGAAGTCAGCATGGAGTCCTTCGACCCCTAAACCCTAAACCCCAAACCCTAAACACTAAACCATAAACACTAAACCCTAAACCGTAAACCCTAAACCCTTAACCCTGAACCCCTAAACCCTAAACCCACGCTCGGGGGCTTTTGGGGGGTTTCGGGCTCATGGGACTCTAAGGCTGGTGGGGTGCCGGGATCGGGGATCGAGGCTCAAAGGGCATAGACACCTTAAGCAACCCCAAAGTTTAGGGTTTAGGGTTTAGGGTTTAGGGTTTAGGGTTTAGGGCTTGGGGCTTAGGGGCTTTGGGTTTAGGGTTTGGTTTAGGGTCTAGGGTCTAGGGTCTAGGGTCTAGGGTCTAGGGTCTAGGGTCTAGGGTCTAGGGTCTAGGGTCTAGGGTCTAGGGTCTAGGGTTTAGGGCTTAAGTCGCTGCATGTAACAGCAGTGTTCCATGCTACTCCACAGAGGGGAGAGGCTTGAGGGCACCCGAAACCCTGAAGAGGCTTCGGGCGGAGGGCTTGATGGTGGCACCCAGGGGCCTGCGCCCACTGGGTTTAGGGTTTAGGGTCTAGGGTTTAGGGTTTAGGGTTTAGGGTTTAGGGTTTAGGGTTTAGGGTTTAGGGTTTAGGGTTTAGGGTTTAGGGTTTAGGGTTTAGGGTTTAGGGTTTAGGGTTTAGGGTTTAGGGTTTAGGGTTTAGGGCGACCAAAACCCTAAGCCGCCTACACCCCCAACCCCCTTGCCACCCTCGACCCCTAAACCCGAATCCCATTCAAGCCCCCAACAAGCTTCAAAAACAGTAACAAACACTTTAAAGCAAAAAGGAAAACATGTACAAGAATGGAGAACCCTAGGCCCTAGACAACCCTAAATCCTCTTAAAGAACCCAAACTCGGACTTAAGAGAAACCCTCCAAAGCCCCAAGCAACCCGTGGAAACCTTGAAAATCCTTGAAAAACCCAAAACCTCCTGAAAACCCCAAAGTGGGGACTTCGGATTCACGCCCCTAAACCCTAAACCCTAAACCCTAAACCCTAAATTTTACTAAACCCTAAACCCTCTCCTTCGTCTCGCGAGATCAGCTCGTTCGAGAAGGTAAGTCCCGGCATCATCCCGCGCCTGTAAGGGTTTAGGCTTTAGGGCTCAGGGTTCAGGGTTTGGGGTTTAGGGTTGAGGGTTTAGGCCCGCCCGGTTTAGGGTTTAGGGTTTAGGGTTTAAGGTTTAGGGTTTAGGGTTTAGGGTTTAGGGTTCAGGGTTCAGGGTATAGGGTTCAGGGTTTAGGGTTTAGGGTTAGGGTTTAGGGTTTAGGGTTTAGGGTTTAGGGTTTAGGGTTTAGGGTTTAGGGTTTAGGGTTTAGGGTTTAGGGTTTAGGGTTTAGGGTTTAGGGTTTAGGGTTTAGGGTTTAGGGTTTAGGGTTTTAGGGTTGAGGGTTGAGGGTTGAAGGTTTAGGGTTAGGGTTTAGGGTGTAGGAGAATGGTCCCTTACCTCCTTTACAGGGTTCTGAAGTATGGGCCCTTGGATGGGGTCATTTTGGGGGGCCCATACTAAGGGACCATGTAACTTCGAGGCCCCAGGACACCCGTAGGGCCTTTCGGGTTCTTAGGGCTTTTGGGGGGTTTCGGATTTGAATCCCGAAAACCCTGAACCCTAAACCCCAAACCCGAAACCCTAAACCCTAAAATGCAGAAGGTCTTCAGCCAACCACCAAAAGCTGGGCGAGCGGCTTCTTCAGCCAGAAGATTGCGCAGAAGGAGCCGCTGAAGAGGATCTGCAGGAGGGGTTTAGGGCATTAGGGCATTAGGCATTGGGCATTAGGGTTTAGGGTTGTAGGGTTTTTAGGGTAAAAGGGTTGAGGGTTAATAGGGTTGACGGCTTTGGGGTCCTCAGGGTTGTTGGATTTGGGGCTTAGAAGGATTGGAATGTAAACCCCCTGATAGGGGTGATTCACCGAAGCTCGACACTGGAATCTCACCCAGGCCAGAGAGTCTTAGGTTTGGTGTGGGGCTTGGGGGGCTTACCTACTGATCAGTTAGAGTAGGCTTTCTGAGGGCTCTTGTATGAGAATTCTCTAGGAACCATAAGGGCATACTACTAGCAAGTATTCCGACCCCTCTATTAGGCTCGTAGGTTACGTACCCTAAACCCTAAACCCTAAACCCTAAACCCTAAACCCTAAACCCTAAACCCTAAACCCTAAACCCTAAACCCCCCCCCTCCCTTAAGAACCCTACAATTGTCAGGTGAGCCACGCCCTCCACGGCAGCGAAGGCCACGATGCGCTCGGCGAAGCTGCTTTCGCCTCGTCGACTTCAGGGTTTGAGGGTTGGTTTAGGGTTTAGGGTTTAGGGTTTAGGGTTTAGGGTTTGGGGTTTAGGGTTTAGGGTTTAGGCTTTAGGGTTTAGGGTTTAGGGTTTAGGGTTCAGGGTTCAGGGTTTAGGGTTTAGGGTTTAGGGTTTAGGGTTTAGGGGGGGGGGGGCACCAATACATAGATGAAGGATGGGGGGGTGGGGTGACGGGGATGCAGAGCGCGGGATCAAAAAAAACAAAGGGGCCCTCTGACAATATGTTATTGAAGACTATCCTCTTCCAAGGAGAAACTTTCCAATATCCACAGGGCTGTATCCCAGGTAGGTCTTAGGGTGTAGGGTTTAGGGTTTAGGGTTTAGGGTTTAGGGTTTAGGGTTTAGGGTTTAGGGTTTAGGGTTTAGGGTTTAGGGTTTAGGGTTTAGGGTTTAGGGTTTAGGGTTCAAGGTGCAAGGCTTCGTTCCTGGAGCCGTACATCCGAGCAACACCTCGCCAAACACCAATCGGCTGGCTTGCGGCTTTCCATCAACCCCTAACACCCTAACACCCTAACACCCTAACACCCTAGGTCCTGAGCCGAAAAAAGCCCTAAAACCCTAAACCCTAAACCACAAAACACTAGCCCCTAAGCCCGAAGAAGCCCTAAAGCCCTAAGCCCTAAAAAGCCCCAAGAAGCCCTAAAAAGCTCGAAAAAGCCCTAAAAAGCCCTAAGAAGCCCTAAAAAGCCCTAAGAAGCCCTAAGAAGCCCTAAGAAGCCCTAAGAAGCCCTAAAGAGCCCCTAAGAAGCCCTACAAAGCCCCTAAGAAGCCCTAAAAAGCCCTAACAAAGCAGAAGCCCTAAAAAAGCCCTCAAACTCTGAAATCGCAGGCCGGCGGCGGTTCATCCACTGGATCGCCCAGCGAGCCTTGTCTCGCACCTCGGGCTTGAACGCAAGAGCCCCAAAAGCAGGTCGTAAGGGCGGCTTTAGGGGTCTAGGGTTTTAGGGTTTAGGGTTTAGGGTTTTTGGGTTTAGGGT